AAATGGGTGTGACTACAACCGGGGTTCAAACTCAGCACTTTTAGGTTCTGAGTTCGAAGCTCTACCGAGGGAGTAACTGTGGCTAGAAGCAATGAATTCATTGCTCAAGGTAATTCATAATAAAAAACAAGGATTACTCGCTGCGGGAATAGAATTCGGCGTCTCCGGTGTTCAAAAGCGACCTCCTAAACACTGTGCAACCATGCCACCAAATGAAGGTCAAAAACATAATCAAACATGCTGCTTGCATCACCTAAAATTTCTGCCAGCGATTGGATGAGTTAAAAACGTTGAATGCTTTATTTTAGTTTAGATCTCTTCTTTCTGAATAAACCGCGACCGCGGAAACTGGCAGTGATTTGAGTCTCAAAGACGCTCTGATTGCTTGCATCTTATGTGACTACGGTTTAATGAATGGCTGTTTGAACCAAATCATATCAACGGTTTTGTTTGCACTTTTCCTAGCTTCTTTCACTGTTTTGTTACTCACTCTGTTCAATCTTTTTTACTCCTTTCCGCCTGTGCTGAAAAGAGCCTGTATATTTTTGCTCCAGCACTAAACTGCGACTTCAAACTTCCATTATAAACAGAAATTTTTACCAAACCAAATCAAAGAGAACTTCTTCGCTGAAAAATAAAGCTTGTAGTTCTCACGAAGAAATTTTCTTCCTTCAAAAGTATGACGATAACAACGCCTACAACTGTGTCAAATACTTAATCGGCAACGGTATGCAAATAGCGAACCTAAATAAAACAGATTTTTGAAGCTTTATCCGCGACACAGGTATGTATTTATCGACAAAGCAATTAACGCTAGTAAAGCTTTTACCCAACACCGCTTATCCCACCGTAAAAACTGCAAAACGACCGATTCTTCGTATGGTACAATCTGCTACAGTATTCTGTTTAGTAAAGCATACCTGCAAATCGAAATTGTATGCATACAGTGCGATAGCAGTTTTTCATTAGATGAAGTTTCGTATCTCTGTCCAGCAATATGAGTTGACGTGCCTCTGCCGAATATTTGCCCTGCCCGAGGGCCAGTCAAACCATATAGGTTTCTGTAAAACGACTCAAGTCTGGTCTTTCGAAAGCCGTCTTAACCTTTGAATCCCGCTATGGCTTATTATATGTCAAAATGTGTAGCGTCGGAAGCAAAACTACTCTTCGGAATGAGGGGCTTTCTCCTCTACGGCCATCGTCAAAGCGCCGATTACTGTCCACCGCTGCAAGCGAGCTGGAGGTCACTGTGGACGGCAAAATCCGGCGGCTTCGTTTCGAAAACATTGCTTTTCGCAAGTCCTTCATTTCCTGGAATTCAGATACAGAGGCGCCATGAATCTTTGGAAGCTTTAATGGTATGTTGTTTGCAGTATCCTCATGGAAAGTCATGAAAATAAATTAACCAATGCTGTTACAGTTGCTACTGTTCGCCTTAATTGCAAAATATTTAAGCAAATCATTATTTATCGGCGGCATCAAATCGCCGGAGGACTAGGATCTATACATGAATTGCATGGGGAAAAACGATTATGCTTCTACATTGATGGAATTCTGTTGAATACACATAAAACTATAAAATGGGTGTGTATAATGCATAATACGGAGGTTAAACACTTGAATTTCTCATCAGATTCCCTACTTATGGTATAGATCACCTCATGTCAGGATGCCAAATACCTGTCGTTTCTTCTTACCTGGAGTATACAATTACCAGTAGCGTATGACCAACTGTTGTAGAGCTTCAGTTTATGCAAAGTGTCTAAGAATTCTTCGTTCATCACATGAAGCCATAAGGAAAATTGTCGTGCGATTTATTCGTCCATTTTATACATACACACCAGTCGTCGTCTTTCGAGGTCAGCTGATATACGACTTAAAACTGCTAAGGCGATCATTGACACAAATGTCTAGAATGAGCGCCCTTTCACACAATGGTCTATTGAGACACGTGGTTGATTCAACCACCTCATGACGCTGGCATGTGCATGAACGTCCTTGAGAATAGCAGTCACTCGTTGCTTGATGGAATGGAGAATCCTGTCGCGAATCTGATCAACTGGATCTAGGTATTTCCATGCTTTTTTCAAAACGGAACTGTATAGGAAATCCTTAATCCCAACTTCAGCGTACGTGCTAAATAACACTTGACATGCCAAATTTGGCAATGTCCTGTTCCAGTCTCCCCATTAGATTTGCTTCTTGCTTCTATACTGATATCACCGGTTCTTTTGCTTATGATTTATATTTGTTAGTTTTAAACTTAGATTTCAAGTTTTAATCAGTTTCTTTTTTGAAAAGTTGAATTCATCAATTCACTCACTAACTCACCAACGTGTGGTATACCGAAAGAAATCAACTTTTACATTAAGAAATACTGCTTTGTATTCAGTACTTTAATAAATATGGTAAATTTAGCTCACGTGACTATGAACATTGCCGAGAGCGATTGTTACGAACCAGAATACGCTATTATGAGTGTTTACTTAGCAGGGCAACTTTAGACAGTGTCCATGCTATGTTAAGGTCCAGATTTGTAATCTTTCTATGCCGATATGGAATGAATGATTTTAGTGGTTCGGACCAAGTGAGTAAGACGTCGATTTTGCTGAATTATTATTAACTTACCCTGTGCCTAAGGTTCTGCATTGTTTCCTGCATTTTTAAGTTTGCGCCTTGTCTTAGATATAAGTTCTGTGGCTTATGCGCTGAAACCCATTCATTATCGGCCTAGACTGAGCAGGAAATTAGTTTTTGTCCATCAGAGTCTGGACTGAATTGCAAATTAATTTCGCTATGGACAGATTATTACTCTGGATTATGCTTCTACTGTCTTGTGTCTACCGGATGATGATTTGTATTGCGTTCTAGCTGTTAATATGTACTTTTGTTGTGTTTGCCATTCGTTAAACTGTACACTTGTTTACATCGTCCAAGACGTCACTAACCATCGTACCACCTCATAGAACAACGCTGTACATTCTTAGAGTTGGCACTCTTTTCTTGACCTTCGGTTGTAACGATTGAACCAGAAGGTGGTGGTAATTACAGGTGTTGGAAGACTTTATCGTGCATTTAACAAACATATGGCTGGGTGAAGGACGTTCTGACATTTTTTCACTCAGTGTTCATATTCTTCAACTAATCGAGCTCCATATGTGTACCGTGTTCTTAGTTCTGGATGAATGATGGTCTTTCTGCATCTGATTGGCTTGTTTAAGGTTATCAGCAGTTTAGTATTTTCTGTTTTTCAAAATTAATTTCATCTAGTGCTATTTAACTTTAAGATAGCTGAAGATGAATTGCAGTAGTAAGGCGCACGCTTCGAGCAGCATCGTTGTGCCTCCAGAATGGTCATCATTTTAATAAATTATTGATTGTTATATCAGTAAGTTTATAATGCAGTTAATAGTGATAATGTTAGTGCTGAATTACCTAAATAAGGACTTTTTAAATACTCTTTATTGTAATAAAGTTTACTGTATTATTAAATGCTGTTAGTAATTATCGTATATCACTGCAGTTTTGATAGTCTTTTTATAATAAGCTAAAAACTTTTAGGAGCTACTTGGCGAAACTGTTCCTGAGCCGGCAGACACCGAAGACGTTGCGATAGAACAACCGACGATGGCGGAGATCTGCTCCGAAAAGTGTGGCTTCTTACCGAAAATGTACTTGCAACTGCTTAGTCATGTACACTCACAGTTTGAACTACCCTGGTGGTCTTCTATTATAGCTGGTAGGAAGGTTTTGCTGTCTTGATTTTTGTTTATACATGGTCCAGAATACAGAAATCCGTGAGAACCTTGGTATGCAGCCGCAACTTCCTCAGATTGAGAAGCCACAGTTGCGACTGTTTGGGCACCTTTTGTCAGTGCTTTCAGAACGGAAGTTGAAGCAGCTATTTCTTGCCCAGCCGACAGACAGAGGACCCACAGGACGGCTAAAATTAACCTTGACCCAGTATATGGAAGGAGTGCGTTCCAGACTCTGGTTGTTTTCTGCCGATGCGCAGAGTCTGGTACAGGATTGACAACGTAGGATGCATTGTCTGACGCGTCTGTCTCCGCGACCCGAAAGGAGAAGCGGCTATGGAAGATGATAAAAAAATGAGGAAGATGAAGATCTGTGTTTATATGTTACAGCTTATAGGCGGTGCAAAAACGTTTTTGCTTATCACTGGTACTGCAGCAAAGAAAGGCTTATTAGAGTCATTACACTGAGTTATACCTCAACATTGCACCCGATGTATTGTAATATAGGTAACTTTCGGAATATCACATTCCGCTGAATAACGCATAGAAGTTTCGTTAACATATATTTTACTCCCACAGAGTGACGATTCTGATTACAGTAGATGTGTCGTCAGGGTAAATAGATTACATCCACGTTCTAACTATGAATAATGGTCGAGCTTGGTCCGAAACATCAGTTCGTAAGAATGAAATGCATGTGAATACAAGTTTCATCCGTTGTTCATTCGTATGTGACATTTTAAGAGATGTATGTCTTCCATGAAAGGAAATCTTACGTTTTCAACGTTTTCATATGTATGAAGTTATTTAAGAGATGCAGACCAACTTTGTTTCGTTGGTTCGCAAGAAACGTATGAAGCGATATAGCAGTCGAAGTGCCAGCTGCAATGATGCGATACCACCATTGTGTGTTTTATGCCTTGATCCTTTTGTAGTTGCGGTGGCTGCGCGGCTGATGATTTATCCCCTTATTACCGTCGGGAACTACCGAAGGATTTCCAAATTTCAGAATGCGGTTCCTTCGTTGCAGGCTTTTTACCACGATATCAGCGAGTCGAAACGCCGTGAAAATCTCGAGCTAATTAAGGCCAGTGAACAACGACTGCACGACTACTGCAAGAGTCGCAACTTGCCAAGCCTCGGCGATCAGTTGATCCCGATCGTAATTTCGGTACGTTACTTTTTAGTGCTTCGTTGCATTACTCATGAATATAACGACTTTCGTTTATAGACGACGCTGTTTGGCACTCAATTTTTTGGAATTATGAAAGCTGCTAAGGCATTCTGCGTCGGCTTCGACAGCGAAGGAATGCTGTGGTTCACCGACCTTACGTCGAACAGTCCCGTTCTTGCCATCGTTGCTTCTTCGACGTATTGCACATGGATGCTAGTAAGAGCGGCTTTATTTCAGTTGCAGATATCGCCCATCCATCATGCTCCAAAGGCGCTTTTGGTTGGTGCAACGTTGCACCGTCATTTATGCGTACATTACGATGATAATGGAGATAATTGAATGGTACTGGTGATATTTGTAAACCATGGTATAATTCGTACAAATCTCTGAATTGTTCGTTTTTGAATTTACTCTGAGTCAAGAAAGATGTACATTTCAGATTCGTTTGAGGCAGACAACGCTAGTCGGTGGGTCTGATTCGACTTCAGCAATGGTCGGCTATTCGTTCATCGCCATTTCTTCACTGGTTTCGCTAATGTACTTTTCGACTGTCCCTTCTGTAAACTCCCTGCTTTCATTATTTGGTATACAGTAATGCAGACCGTAACTTTTAGGCAGTTCTTTGTTTCGTAATACCAGATTTTACGCTGAATGCCGTCTTTGCGTCGTTGTACTCGGTTTCGATCTATCGTAAACTCATGCATATAGAAGATCCGATTAAGTTTGACAAGCAGCACTACATAGACTTTCCGGAACAGGTTTCTGACGGTGAAACTACTTTCCTTCACTTGTTTTTTCTTTATGACGTCATTTTTATTTTAGCTATTAGCTCCCGCCTGGGGAAGATTAGAGCCATCCGACGGCGCAACTTAGAAGGCATGAGAAGGTCCGGTTTACCGTTGCTATTTGACCCAGAGCGTCTTCCATCGAAATTGAAAGAGTTCATCTTCCGTAGGAAGCCGGTTGCCACTTGACTGTCAAACCGATTTGTTTTTTTAGTTCTGTAATAAATTCTTTGAATTTGTAAAGGTTAATTTATTATGACTAGTAAACTATGTTTTTCAGGATTCTGCACGATATAGCAAGCAAAATGCTGCATGTGTTCTTTTCGCTTCCTTTTGTCCTTTTTCTTCATAATGTTAGTAGTGAGATCTTAGCGTTGGCTCGATTGTGACTATTTTGTGTGCCAAACTGCAAAGAAGTAGAAGCAACACCTAAACGTGAAGAACAGTCTTGTAGAAGATGCGTTGATTCAGTGAAAACGAACAAAATTATGGCTAGCTGTTTCAAAAACGATAGAGGGGCCAATGTTGATCAAGTGATGAATGATATGTATAATGTGATTCCCGAATTTTCCATCATACAAGCAGATAAAAGTCAGTCGAAAACTTGGCTCTAATGGAGTGTTGTAGCGCTGGGCTATGTGATGAAAAGGTGCTCAAACTAAACAGTTTACAAGACTATACGTAAAATTTACCAAAGTTTGCCATCGTAATTTCCTAGGGGTTAAGAGTTTATTGTCATTGTTATATTTTACAGTAATACTGCTCTGTGCTGATAGCAAACTTGCTTAAGCGAATGAACCTTTTGTCCTCTTCAGAGTTGAATGTTTGACAATCTTCAGTATATGCAAACAGCAACTGAACTCTGTAAAAATTTGAATGTGCGAATAAAATGCACCGCGCCTGAGTTATTTTCATGCGGGACAGAGATACATAAAAGCAGGACACCTTTAGCCTGGTCAAGTGAGATTTAGGTTTGCCAGTTGAACCCTGAACACGTACTATTAAGTAGGAAGAGTAAGATAAAACCAAGGAAAATGGTATTTCTTGTATCAGTCACTGAATTGACCATATTATGTTTTGTGCTGTCCATTATTAAACTGTTTTATGCCATTTTTTCGGTATGATGCCGCACTGCAAGGAGGCAATTTGAAACTGTCACCACTGTGCCTTACTCTAAAACAGAAGGGCTGTGATACGAGTCTCTTGATTAATTCCGAAAAGACAAAGCAGATTGAAGATGGTAGAACCCAGACTCAATCTTGACACCGAATTTGTGGGAAAAACACGAGATTATACCTGCCATTAAAGCATATTGGCTCCCCTTTCTTACGGAGTGACAAACCATGCTAATAAGCAATAACCACTGTCAGTTCGCATAGGCAACAAGGAACATGTTTCTGAAAGTTTAGAAGAAAAAATTTTTTTCTTGCATCAGGTTGATCATACAGTGCTTACATTCTGAACAATTTGCCTTTCCGCAATACAGGCTTTTTACAGCCTATGCGATTCCATCAGTTGAAAGATTTGTCAGTGCTTTCTGATGCTCATCAGGCGAGTCTCCTCGAGATTGTGGAAACAATACGCAAGAGGTCGGTTACGAACTCGAACTCCGCAGGTGCAGAGTTGGGATCCTCTTGCAGAAGGGGGGAGGGTAGTGTTCCTTTTATCAAGAATTTCTTTGATCAAGGAATTTACTACATGTCGCTTCAATCCTGAGTTACTTAATCAGTAGAGTGTAGCACTCTGAGCCTAGAAGTTCTAAGCTCAAACTTCAGCCAGAGACTCTGGTTTTTCTTCTTGCCGATGTTAAAAAATGAGCACCACTGTGATAAACGAGTGGGAAAGAAATAGTAGAATAAATATTTTGCTTGTCAAATAGCAGCTGCTAAAGAAATAGCAATAGAGATCAATGCCCGTACCATTAGCTATGCGAAAACTGTTACGCAGTTTGCCTTGCGATTCTAAATTGTACCATAATGATTTACGGTGGGGATAAATGGATCATTTACGAAATTTGTTTGAAGCCTATGTTTTTACCGCTTAAATGTAGTTCGGCAGGTTTGTCATGTATATTAAAAGGTGTAACGGTTACCTTCACGAAATAAATTAATTGACTTTAAGCTTAATGCTGTCACACTTCACAAGATAGACGTTGAAGTTTGATAAGCGGTAGCAGCGTGAGTTGTTAGGAAACAATAGTACCGAAGTATTGTTCTTCTTACCTTATGATCATTTTCAGAAATATTTCAAATACAGTAAGACGATTAATAACAGCAGCGTCGTAATTAACCAGTGCTTGAGGTAAATGTGCACGGTGCTCGAGGTAAATGTGCACAGTGCTAATGGTATGCGTTGTTTGTGTCTGTTGAAATCATCACTTGGAACCGTTTGCATAAGCAGAGCATTTTCCTTTTGCGATGTCTAATGTATTAGCTCTTTATGGCATGCGTCATTCATGTAACGGGCCATTTCTGAAT